TAAATGTATATATGGAAATGTTAATTGTTAATGTATATTTAGAAAATACTCTACCAGGCAGATATTGTGCTTAAAAAGTAAAGCTTTAAGATGCGCTTTTAACTTGTAATTAAATCATAAAAACGAATTATGTAGTTTATTAGTGATTTAATTATAAGTTATATATTTGCATTCTTAGATAAAGATATATACTCTAGCTTGACGAAACCTCACAATTGATTGCATAATAAAATATTTTGACAGATATTAACCAGCATTAAACAACTTTTTAAATTGTTACTAATACAAACATTCCTCTAACTTATGTTTACAATTTTCGGTAGATTTAGACATTAATTTGAAATGTTAGTGTGGAACATATCATTGATGCTTTGTCAAAACTATGACATTAAAACTAATTTGTCTCTTTTAATACTCTTTACTTTTAGATGTGTTAGTTTTAGTAAATTTCGTCTGTATTTATTTTAATATTTTATTTTATAAATTGGAATCAACTGATGTTCTACAACTGAGTCAACTAATATTTATGTACAAGTACAATATTGTAAGTTACCACACTAAAGCAGTAAAATAAAAAGATATTTGTAACTGAAACATAGTTTTTATTATATTAACCCATTTTGTGTACACTTTATTTTTTTCCTTGCATAAGAATTGCTTACCCTAAGAAATGCTTTCTTAGGATAGCGGGTAGATACTCATACCATGCTGGCGACTCTTACTTTTGACTCTTACTTTTGGGTCGGTAGAGTAAACGCCACGAATGTTTGGGAATGATTCATCGCTTAATGAAGTTAGAATCGACACGCGCGCTATCATTTTTACATTAAAAACGTAAATTTTTACCGCAGACGTAGGTTTTTAAAGGCCCGGTCTAATCATCTCCCTGCGCTCCTCCTACTTATTCTAAAATGTTAGCGTGATTGACAAAGACGATACTATATCGCGTTTCTTTGATTGATTCGTTTTTGTGCGTCAGTCCATTGGTGTGCTTGGAGTGCGACCAATGGGGCATTCCATTTTATATTTATAACCAAATATATGTTTTGACAAGACTTTGACAGTTAAAACAACAAATTACAACAGCTTATATATTGATTATTATATGACTTGAAAGACCACGGCACTGGAATTAAGTTTTATTTGACCTTGAACAGATTAGTTCACATGGTAGCGACCGATGAATCACTCCCAAACATTCGTGGCGTTTACTATATTTACATGTGTGGAAGTAAATCGCATAGGGATCTTATTAAGTCAGAGTGAGAGAAATGCGACGGTGTGCTGTTGGTGCGTTGTCATATTTCTCCGGTACGCATTTTCCTATCAGGTAAAGTAAAATCACACACAAACCGCTTATTTTTAAAAGACTTTTTCTTGAAAAGACAACAAGATAATATCATTAGATGTGTTTCTAAGCATCTGAAATGGAATTATAAGGATATCGTTAGGGCGTCCATATTTTTTATAACGAGAAAACGTCAGTAATCACGATAATTTAAAAACTCAACTTTTTAACACATAACTCAAGAACCATTTTAGATATTGAAACTTTTTTTTTATTTTGAAGTTCGGATATTTTACAAGATCTTTAAATGTGAAAAATTCGATAGGCTTTTTTTCATTCAAAAATTTTAAAAAACCCGTCCATTTACTTTTAATGCATAACGATTTTTAGCAATCGTGTAATCGTAATCGTGTTTATTTGTAAAACTTTTCACATACTGTGTGCGAAGAAAATATAGCAGAAATATTCAAAAAGTTTTTGAAGAAAAACTACAATCAATTATTTCTAATGGATTTCGACATATCGATTCTTGAATTCAGAGTTCTAATAGCGCGACCACTGTCGAACACTAATTCAATTCCACTTATTTTTACCAAAAGTGCAAGTGTATCGGAGTCACACTGCCTGCACTTAAAAATATACAAGCTATAGGGAAAATTACGACTTGTTAATAGATAAACAAATAAAGTATTACAAGACGTAACTAAATCGTAAAGCTGAACGCATGATATTTACCCTTCTCTAGAATTTTAAGTTCTGATTGGGTCGACGCGACCGTTCGACCACGAAGAAACTGCTGTATCCACTTCCACGTCTTTTAGCCATGTGCACAGATTCTCGGTTTATTTCATACGTTTGGCAACGTTTTTACTGTTCTCTCTTTGTTCAGTACATTATAAACGCATTGTACTCTTACATACGAAAATATCGACCCAAACCTAAGCTTTGTCAGCCCTTAGAAGATCTGCTTGAGGGATGCGTCCCTGACCACGCGAGCCTTGGTTTATCTCCCAACACCATATGGGGGGAACCATTGTCCTATACCTACACTCCTATCCAAACCGCGTATTTCAGCCTACAACCTACCTTCACAATATAATTTTCCTCAAAAGAATCTCATAAATCCATTCATTTTAAAATAAGTCCAGAGGGTAAATAATAGTTCCTCAGTCGAATCTCCGCGAGGAGCTGACATGAATCTGAACATGCGTAAAGGAACGAAGATAGCGATATTGGAACTTTATTTTTCACAATTAATTAATCATTTTACTACAGCTGTAATAGATTTTATCTTTAGCTTAGTTATATTATCTTCATTTCAGTAGTATACATAGTTTTTAAAATAATTATTTTTTTTTCTACATATATTTTCCTACGTACGTAAAACCGGCAACACTGTATGCCGCTGTTTATTTTATCTCTCTGTCTGTCAACCAGTCATTTATCTCTGTCGCATGGATTAAAATACAGACCACGATGAAGTGACCTAGTATATGGTTGTCTACATTCTAGTATATGTATGGTTAGGCCATTTTTATACATATAATACACAGGGTGGTCCGAACTATATTCCGGAAATTTCGGCAGCATATTCTGTAGATTAAAATAAGTAAAAATGTTCGTATAAATCTGTGGTTATTTGCCAAAGCTGATATGTCACTTTTCATCAATATTGAGATTTTGTCACCTTGGTATGTCAAATAGACCAAATTTTGTGTTTGGCAAAACATGATATCTCAATATTCAAAAATAAGCATGCATCTAATGTGGTCATTACTTGATATCTGTTTTAACTCTGTTTCAGTTTTGGGCGAAACCTGTTATGTTATACATACATGCAAAATGATGAAAATCGACATATCAGCTTTTGGCAAATAACCACAGAAATATATGTCCTAAAATGCTTAGTTTCGGAGATACAGGGTGTAGAAGTTTAATTTTTATTTTGACTTTTTCCAAATAATTTATGAAGTAACGTCAATATTTGGATAAAAATTAGTGTCTGGGAGTTTTTTGACATGAAAAATTTGATTTTCATGTAAATATGACTCCTACTTGTAGAGGACGCCACATATATATGTTTTAACTGGTTCGAAGAGTAATAACTTTTCGTCCATACTTGTATAAAACTTCAGAGTAAAAAAAAATACATTTACGACGTTTTTTACGTAAAAAAGGCCTCTTAGTAAAAATCGATACGAGTAGTGGTTCTCGAGATCTTTCGAATCAAAATTATCAATACCTGTCATCATTGACATAAATTAAACATGTTGACTAAATAGTTATTAGACTGAAATCATAAATTTGAAATCTTTTTCTGTAAAAAGTTCCAACAGAAACTGTTTGATCATCATTTTTTCGCAGAAAAATTTATGATTAATTTAAAAAATAAAAATGTATTATTTAAGTCAAATATCTATACTCAACGTGCTTATTTTTTGTCACTGTATTGTATATTCTAAATATCTTGAGAACGGTTACTCGTAGCGATTTTTACCAAGAGACATTTTTTACGTAAAAAGTCATGGAAATGTAAATTTTTTTAGTCAATAGTTTTATACAGGTACGATCGAAAAATTATTACTCTTCAAAACAGTCAAAACGCATGTAGATGGCGCCCCCTACAAATAGGAGTCATTTTGGCATCAAAATCAAATTTCTCGTGCCACAAAACTCCCAGGCACCAATTTTCGTCCAAATATTGACGTTACTTCAGAAATTATTTAGAAAAAATCGAAATAAAAATGAAACTTCTACACCCTGTATCTCCGAAAGTATTTTGGAACGAACATTTATATGAACTTTTTTATTTATTTTTATCTGCAGAATATGCTACCGAAGTTTCCGGAATACAGTTCGGTCCACCCTGTATATCCCGCTAATATTGACAAGGATGTGGTTGTACACATTATAAAAGGGTGTAACAAAGGGATCAAATTATTTTACGCAGGAGACATAAGTTCAACTATTAAAATATAAAAGAAACAACATATATTAAAGACAAATAGTAATAAATATAATTCTTATTATAAATTATATTAAATATTTACAAACTTCAACTTTCCTAACAATACTTAGGTATGGGTTTTGATTCCCGTCGATATTACGGACTGTAACAACGTAAAATTTTCTATACAGATTAAGTAAAAACATCGAATATTAGCACTTTATTACCTTATATAATAGTGGTGCGGATTGACCTAATTTAAGCACAAAAAATTAATAAAACCTCTTTGTAAGCGTAAAAATTAAGAAAATATATGTATTTACAATATTCCAAACTAGCAGCTATTTTTTGACTTTTTGATTGACATTTAACCGACGGTCTTCGCATACAATTTGCGACGTTGTCAAAATGGTTTTATATGATGTTCTTTATCATGTAATTTTGTTAATTTTACAAAATATACCCGATAAATATTAATATTTATTCATAATAATTGAAGTTATCATTATACAGCTCGAGCAATCAAAACACGCTATGATTTTGCAAAAATACTGTTAGTTTGGTTGAGTTTTGGGTTGATTTGATTAGGTTTAGAGTTGCTTGGGAGGTGGTTTGGTTTGATTTCCGTAGATAATACTTTTTTCTCGTATTATAAAAAAACGTAAGAGAACCAGAAAAATTGGCGTTAAATAGCGACAATATTGCATAGGGTAATGTCATCATTTGCTTATGTCATCTGTCAAAATGCCTGCGCGGCCTCAAATAGTACCATAATTTTGTTTCAATATTTTTAAATTTACTGGATAATCCGCAAATTTTTTGGCTAAAATTAGCTATTAAAACCCGTACTTTTGTGGAAAATTTTTGTTTTCTTAAAGTTCTACCGTCCGTAAAGTCGAACGGACCCTGGGTTTTCTATTAAACATTACAAAAATAACATAAAATCACTTACTCTCTAAACATACTACTTCTAGCAAACTTCTTTTTCTTTTTTCCTTTTTTGCCATTTGACATATCACCAAAGCCATCGTCATATTTAAACTTTTTATTAGCTTTTAGTTTCTCCATATATTTCTTCTTTTTTAACTGCCTTTTTGATAATTTTTTATCGTCCTCAATAAGAATTACACTATCATTTGAGACAGAACATTTGTCCTTCACTTTCTCCTCTTTTACATTACTTGGGCCGCTCAACCATTGACTGTCTTTAGCGTTGTTAATAGGTGGTTTAACACCAGGAATTTTTTCCTGCTTAGTTGTTATGTTATTTGGTATTTTAATATTAGCAAATGACACTCTTTCTTGTAAAGAAAATTTATTTTCTTTTTTAGGTGTATTGACTAAATCTATTACTTCATTACTTCTTATATTGCCCAATGCATTTGCTTTATCATCATTAAAGAATTTGTGAGGTTGTTTTGTTAAATCGAATTTCTGTTTGTTTGCGTTCATGTTTTTATCAATGTCAATTATTATTTTATTTTTATTTTTATTTTTCTTCGCTTTATTTTTTCCGCCTTTAGCATCATTTTCTAGATTTATCACTTCCATAATTTCTTCACCTAAAAAAATCTATTATAGTACATTTAATACATTTACATGTTTATTAAAGATAAAGAGATATTTTGTCACAGAAATATTGCTACCTAATACAAGATTATTCAAGTGCCTAATTAGACGTTTATGGAGAGTTAGTACATGATAAAAATATGAAATTTTTGTTGATTATGTAAAAAAATATGATTCTGTAGAAAATATTTTTGTTCATAAGATAGTGCCAGATCTACCCATAGCTATAAAAAAACTGTTTATTATTGCATCTTAGGATTCTAGTTGGAATTCTAGACAAGTTTGGTATGACATAACCTACTTCCATCGTTAAACGTTAAGCATTTTTTTTGTCCGTTAGGCAAATTTGTTTATTAATAGACCACTGCTAACAATTAGTCTCCGTTGGATTAAGCAGCAGTGTTTACAAAAAATAACTATTTTATTTTGTAGATTTTCAAAGTGGCGAAATACCCATATAGGACTTTTTTGGAAAAATAGAGTTTGTACAAATTATGTTAAATCCACACAGCATTCAACGTAATGACCTAATGATTGACGATTGACATAATGTACAGGGTGGTCGAAATTGGTCTGTTTTAACAGAGAAACCCTATTTCCTGACTAGATAGAGCAAAACCGACATAGATGTCATGGGCTCGATTTCTGAGACATGTTTAATGGCGTAAACCGCCTGTTGATATTTTCACTGTCAACTCAGATACGGGGTCTTTTTGAATTTTTTACTATTTTGAAAATTGTCCATAACTTTTTTATTTCGCAGAATAATAGAATCCTTAAGGCACTTTTTTAAGCAAAATCCAGTGTTGTAGTTAATTTTTTTCTATGTTTGCTCTTTTTGTCAGAAATAATAAAAAATATACTTTTTTAAATGGAAATCGTAGTTGGCTATGGACTTAAAAAAATGGTAGCGTTTAACCCTTTCCAACGATATAAAGTTATGAGTATCTATTTCTAAGAATGACAGAAATATTAGTTGTTTTTTTCTTTATATCGAAGCGGGCCTTGATTTTGTGTTGACCTATTTGCCTAGTTCTTTTTATCACAATTTATATTCTATATTATTATTTATCTGAATAATTAAAGACTTTTGAAGAGGTAAATTACCATTCTATATTAGCATTAGTAATTACAATTGAAATCGATACAATAAACAATGAACAAAACTAAAAAACGTTTTTCTAAAAAAAAGCATCAAAGATGTTCACAACAAACATCTTTTGCGCACAGAGTTACAGCGATTTATTAGGCCAACTGCGAACTAGTATAATAAGTCCAAAAGCTTGTCTAATAACATTCTGCAATTCTCCTCTCGTCCCAATGGTACTTCCCTTATATTTATATAAGGTCTTTTAATTTCCGCCATAAAAAAGTCGAAAAGGGTTAAATCACAGGACCTAGCAGGCCAAGATATGGGGCCCCTTTTTCCAATCCAATTCTCTCTAAATTCTCCATTTAATAGTTCAGTTATAACCCTGGCGTTTTAATTATAATTGGTTATACTAATATAGAATGATGATTTACCTTTTTAAAAAGAGTTGCTAATTATGCAGATACATAAAAATATAGAATATTAAATTGTGACAAAAAATAATTAGGCAACTAGGTCAACACAAAATCAAGGCCCGCTTCGATACAAAGATAAAAAACCTAATTTTTCTCTCATTCTTAGAAATAAATACACATAACTTTGTATCGTTGGAACGGGTTTGGTTTGGTTTGGCCAGTATTTTTTTAAGTTCATAGCCAACTATGATTACCATTTAAAAAACTATATTTTTGTCATTTCTGACAAAAAGAGCAAGTATTGAAAAAAACTGACTACGCCACTGAATTGTGCTTAAAAAAGTGCCTTAAGAACGTTTTTACAGAATTTTATTATTCCGCGAAATACAAAAGTTATGGGCAATTTTCCAAATGGTAAAAAAATCAAAAAGTCCCCGTATCTCAGTTGGCAGTCAAAATATCAACAAGCGGTTTACGCCATTAAACATGTCTCTGAAATCGAGTCCATGACATCTTTTTTTTTTTAGCGAGGTGGGAAGATCTTTTATAGACGAAGTGTGGGACTCTTCCGATTGGACCTACCCACTAAAAAACCACCCCGTGTCTAACACCACTCATGCTGGAAACCGCTCTCGCATTACTTCAGCATGAGGGCTGCCCTCGCTTATTTGCGTTGCTCTTCCTTTTTCTTCAGTATTTTCTTAACCGTGGCATGTGTCGCGGTCCATGGTTTTTTTACCGCCAACCAGTCCAGCATACATGCTCTCCACAGTGAATACTTGTGCAGTCTGCACCTCAAAATATTTCCTCTCATTGACCCAGCGTGGGCAGTTGAACAGAGTATGCTCAACATCCTCCTCCATTGTGCAATATGAGCATCTCTCAGTTTGTGATCGAGCACGTTTATAGAGGTATTTGTTAAAGCATCCATGACCGGAGAGGGCCTGGGTCATAAAATAGTCAACTTCCCCATACGACCTATTAATCTATTGTTTTAAGTCCCGGATTATCCTGTAGGTCCATCTACCAGTACTGGAGCTCTCCCATTCCAGCTGCCATGCATTTAGTAAGTTTTCTCGTGCCTCCTGTTTATGAAGGCCCATATATGTTTCATGTCTTTCTCGCAGCAGTAGGTGTATCGGGGGGATACCTGCTATAACCAAGGCTGCATTACCCGAGATAGTCCTATACGCGCAACATGTCCTGATTGCTGCAACCCGTTGCAATCGGGCAAGCTTTATTTCATTTTGGGCTTTTGATATTGCTCGTATCCATACAGGAGCGGCATAAAGTAGTTGTGAATGGACTACCCCAAGCATGACTCTTCTTTTCGAAGCTCTTGGGCCCCCAACATTTGGTAGTAAACGTGGTAGTGCTCTTAAAGATTTCTCAGCTTTCAGAATGGTCATGCCTATGTGCCCTTTAAAGGTGAGTTTTTTGTCCAGCCACACTTCCAGGTATTTGATTGTATCTTTCGGCTTTATTCTAGTACCCTCTACTTCGAAAACTACGGGAGAAATATTTCTCTTTGTGGAAATTACCACAGCTTCTGTTTTCTCCTGTGCTAATTTTAATTTATTACGCATCATCCAGGCAGAAACTTTAATAAGGGCAATATTTGCTTTACTCATCAACAGATGTTCATTGTCAGCAACAACAACTAGGGCCATGTCATCAGCAAATCCAATTAACATCACGCCGCTAGGTAGATCTATGTTTAGCAGGCTGTCATACAATATATTCCACAGTGTTGGCCCCAACACTGAGCCTTGGGTACGCCACTAGTGACACTAATAATTTTTGCGGTCCCTTCAGCTTCCATAATTATTCGTCTGTCTGTTAAGTATGACGCAATAATCTCAATCAAGTTCCTATTTATTTCCCTTTCGACAAGTCTATTTAGAATTAATTGTCTAGATGCACTATTAAAGGCATTTCTAACGTCCAACGTGAAGACTCCGCAAAGCTTTCGATTTTGTGGGGCATAATCTGCTGCTTCTTTGGCAATTTTCATTACCTGCATAATAGCGTCTACGGTTTGCCTTCTCTTTCTGAAGCCAAATTGATTTATTGACAGGCCACCCGTCCAGTCAAGCTCATGATTTAGTTTTGCAAGTATCATCTGTTCATAGAGTTTTCCTTCCACATCCAGAAGGCATATTGGTCTATATGCTGAAGGGTTTCCTACTTCTTTATTAAGTTTCTTGATGAGAATTAGCTTTGCAATCTTGCATTCAAATGGAAATATTTTCCTTTCCGCTAAACGGTTGTAAATAGTCAACAGATAATCAGGCTTCGCTTTCGTTATTTCTTTTAGTACTTCTCCTGGGATACAACCTGGACCAGGAGATTTATTATTTTTTAGACGCTCAGAAGACATATATAACTCTTCTAACGTAAAAGTAATTTTATCACAGTTTATATTATCACAGTTAGTATTAAAGCTAGTATCACAGTTAAGTATCACATTAGGATGAATTGGAAACAGGTTTGAGGCCACTTCCACCACCTGGTGCATAATAAGGTTGGGCCTGGCCTGAAAACCATTCATCACAGAATATCTAGCTACGCAACAGAAGCCTCGTTACATGTATAAAATTGTAGGTAGCAAAAGGAGACAGGCTTTAAAAGTCTGTCTCCAAATCAGATATTTTGATGTGGTAGTTTCGCTACTACATAATAGAGGGCAATAAATTTAAAAGAAAACAGTTTTCTACAAACAAAATTTAAAAGAATTTTGTGCAGTGTTGCCATTGTGTAATTCATATCGTAATACTTCCTGATAAAGCCTACCTTCAAATTTGCTACATCATTTAAACATATTAAAATAGATCAGAGCTTTTTTTTTCAGTTTGCCATGTTAGTTGGAATTAAATCTTATGAGCTAAATTACAATCACTTCCTGGCGTTTGATTGTATAATTGAATCCTGAATTTTCATTGTAATTCGGCGACAACATAATAAGTATTGTTCTACTATTATGATACCACTTCCTGACGTTCGATTGTGTTCATACCAAGTTCATATTGTATAATCGGGAAAAAACGGCGTTAGCGATAGCTATGAAATGAATATCACTGTCATTTTATATGTAAATTTATATGGGAAATGTCATCGATCGTCCTTTTCCAGCCAACTGGACGCCGTTTTTTTCAGAAGCATATCAAGTGATACCATAATATAGTACTATATTACGATACATGGCGTTCGATTGGGCTTAAACTTGGTATACTATATCTTCAGTGACATTGTAATATCATGGTACCATGGAGCATATAAAGTGGTACCTTCCATAGTACCATATTTGATGACATAGCAATATTAGGTACATGGCGGCAATAGGGCTTAAACTTGGTATACTACGTATTTTCGGTGACATTGTAATATGATGGTACTATGATGCATATCATCTGGTACCATAATATAGTACCATATTATGTACATGACGTTCGATTGGGCTTAAATTTGGGATACTACGTATCTTCGGTGATATTGTAATATTATGGTACCATGGAGCATAATAAGAGGTACCATAATATAGTACCATATTACGATACCATTTCCTGGCGTTCGATTGGACTTAAATTTGTTATACTACGTATCTTCGGTTACATTGTAATATGATAGTGATGCAAATAAAGTGGTACCTTAATATAGTACCATATTTCAATACCATTTCCTGGCATTCGATTGAGCTCATATTTGATATACTACGGATCTTCGGTGACATTGCAATATTATGGTACCTTAAAGTATATCGAGTGGTACCATAATATAGTACACTATTATGATATCATTTCATTTATTGTTCGATGTCGTCATGTCGTGACAGCAACTTTTATGCCGAACTAATATATTATTAATTGTACCTAAACGGAAGAAATTTGTTATTATAGTATTTTTTAGTCAGTTAATATTTTTTGTACTGCATTTTAATAAATTATTTCCATTATTATTAAACTTATATTTCATTACTAACGTTCCAGCATTAATAAATATCACTATCAATCGCCCTGTATATTATTAATTTTAAAGGTAATTAAAGGTATTTTCTTAGTTAACATTATAAGGTAGTGTATATTAAAAATGTATATGTTTTGTAATAATATACTTAAAACTATTTTAATAGCCAAAGGAATAATTAATATAAGTGTATCTGACAAGAAAAGAAGAATAGAAAGAAACACATACTGCATTATACACAATAAAAAGAATGGGATGCCAATTCAAGTCTTTTTGAATCTGGCAACTGTGCATATTTAGCCGAGCTATAAGGCCGACGACGAGCCGTCGATCCAAAACCGAAAGTTCAAAATTTCTAATTATATTCTGATTATGATATTGTCGCGCCATCTAGTATTCTATTTGTGCAATTTTAGCTCTTTCATTTCGAGTATTTTTCTGTTGCGTAGCTAGATATTCTGTGCATTCATCCACTTCATTACTATTCTATATCCGTCTCCGAAAATATCACAGTCTAAGTTATCACACAATCTGTTCCAATGCTTTTTCTTAGCTTTCTTAATAGCATCTCTAAGATTTTTTTTCGCTTTTTTTGTAATCCTCCCAAATCTTATTTATTTCCCACAAACTGGTTTTTACTTTTCTAGTATAATTTCGTCGAAATTTGAGACATTCCCTACGTAAGTTAGCAATATCTTCACTCCACCAGTATACTGGCTGTCCTCTTCTACAAGGCTTCTTTTTCGGCATAGAGTCCATGACATCTATGTCGGTTTTGCTCTATCTAATTAGGAAATAGGTTTTCTCTGTTAAAACAGACCAATTTCGACCACCCTGCACAAGTATATAGTTTTTATTAATCTATTTTATCTATTACCTATTTTTTTATCTATTACTATGGAGTCACTATGGAGTACATCATAGAATTTTATTTTAATTTTATTTATTTACGCAATCTTAAAAATTGGTAGTATTGAGAGAAAGAATAATTATGTTTTATATATTAAATTGATGAGTCGGCTCTTAATAAAGAAAAGTTATTAGTTACTATATCAGTAAAATCATCAGATTGTTGAAGAGCTGTGAAAATATCTTTTTAGATTAAAAGTAAGCCCAAGTGGCGATAAACGTTTATTTTTCATGGAATCTCTACTATAAATTTTAATGCATTTCAAACATGAAAAATGTCTCTCAATCTCAACCCAAGTACTTGTGAATGATGTAGTAACAAACAAAACAAACAATTTGAAAGCCTCTGGAAATATATTTCCAGGATTATTCTCCTTAAATTATTTTATAATCGAAATTATCATATCTATTATTAATACCTGCAACTTATTCATTAATTTATGTTGGTCAATAACATTTTTTGTTTGTTAAATCACTATTAAATGCGTTGGAAGTCGGAAATGTATCAATATAACGAGTTTGTTAAATCAGATGTTAAATGCGTTGGAAATTTTTTATAGGATTCTTTAAATTTCGGATCCGCAAGAGATAAATATAAATAATTGAGACATACGAGTACCTATCTGCAAACCTTATTTCTAAATGTATAACAATGTTATCTAATATTTCATAAAATAAAATTCGCAAAAATATTTGACTTAGCCGCTTTTATTAACACATCGAATTGAAATAGCACAGAGACTTTTCTGTAATATCTGTTGTATCGTTTTCTTGCACCGAATAAAATAATGCGCTTTTATATTTCGGATTCTTTTATTTCTCTGGCGTGTTCTGAAATACAACCGGTTATATCATTTTTAATAATCTCGGACAAGCCCGAAAAATGTTTCCAATTTGCTTTAAACGTTTTTGGAATTTTCATATAAAAGTTTTAAATGTTACCTATAATGAATCATATGAAATATCCCCTTAACGAAATGTGATATATCTCCTTATGAAATATCCGGAATATCCCCTTAACTTCCTAGCGAGCCTTCGAGTCTCCACTACTTCATGCAAAAACGTTAACCATAAATAGTGGTGTTCCGCAAAGCTCAGTTTTGGGTCCCACATTGTGAAACATTTTATATGATGATTTGCTTAAAGTAGAAATGCCTGAAGGCGTTACATTAATAGGGTTTGCAGATGACGTGGCTATGGTAGCAGTAGCCAAAATGAATGTATATTAATGGATGTTGTTAATACCTCGCTGCTAAGAACATGTAAATGGCTTCTTAGCAGAAACTTGAGATTGGCCCGAAAAAGACCGAAGCTGTTCTCCTAACCAGTAAAAGAAAGTTATCTCCTATAACGTTTCAGATAGCAGACACTTTGGAACAGTTATTCCAAAACAAGCTATTAAATATTTAGGCTTATAGCTGGACACAAAAAGAACCTTTGCCGAGCATGTTAATAAAACTATACAAAAGGTCGAGGGTACCACACGTTTATTAAGCCGACTTTTACCAAATATCGGAGGACCAAAATCGTCTAGGAGGGTTCTTATGGGTGTGGCGCACTCACAAATTCTGTATGCGGCTCCAGCGTGGCACAAAGTGACAGAAAATAAAAGACTTGTACAAAAACTAGGTAGGATTCAAAGAACTACATGCATCCGAGTTGCGTAATATCTAGAGAGGCCGCAAATATAATATCAAAAATTTCCCCCATAGAACTGCAAATAATAGAATGGCTTGAAGTTTATGAGGGTATTGCAAAAGATGAAGCCCGAAAGAACTTAGTGAAACGCTGGCAGCAAAAATGGGACAACGGAAAGTACGAACGCTGGACACACAAGCTTATCTCAGACATTGAGACATTGCTAAACTCGAAAGGTGAAGTGGACTATTATTTAACGCAAGCACTTTCAGGACACGGGTGTTTTAGACAGTATCTCTACAAACGGAAAAGATTTAGTACTGATCTGTGTAAATACTGTGGAATAGTGGACGACGTTGAACATACCCTATACTACTGTTTTCGATGGAGTCAACAAAGACATCAATTGCAAATACGCACAGGGCTTACATTTAATATTTCTAACATGATGGAAAGTCTAGTCAAGAGCACAGAATCTTGGGAAGGCGCATATAGGACTGCCAGAGAAATAATAGAGACAAAAGAAAAAGAACATCTTCTTTAGACAGCCTAATGCACTGAAGAAATGCGAGAGCGGTTACCGGTGCATAGAAGGCAAAACAAAGGGAGGAGGGTTTTTTTAGTCGGTAAGAATCTGACACTACCAAATATCATACAACATCGTGGGTATTGAAGGTGTCTATGCAAGATTTTTTCCCACCCCATAAAAAAAAAGTAGTAAACCAAAAAACACAGTAGCTAATTTCTTCAATTAATAAATAAGTTTAAGATAACTATTATTTTAATGCAAGCATCCTAATTTGAATAATTATGATTGTTATTTTATAATTATTTTTATTTTCTGCATCAAATTTCTTTAATTGTTTTCATTTACTGAACATATACAAAAAATTTACCTATGTCATCCTCATTTATACTGAATCCTCTCATTCTGTTACTTGAACCAATCTTTTTCATAGCTTGTTTTACAATGGAATGTTCGACAATTTCAATATCTTCATCGTTGTCTTCATTAATCAAAACATATTCATCGCAGAATTCAACATCATCATCTCCATCATCTAATGAGTTTAGAAGATCAAATACATCGTTCATATCTGGTTTAACAGTAAGATCAACATAGTCCTCTTCATAGACCTGAATTAAAATGAAAATAATGCTAATAAGGCGCACAATTAAATAGAATAGTTTGAATAAACATACCCAAGATACACCTAACCATTCCCTTAAGTCTGAAGGTAAAATATAGTTTTCTGGTAACCATTTCTTTCCGTTATTATGTAACTTTTGAGCAAGTGGATATAATTTTCCGTATATTTCACACAAATATTTAGTATTAAATTTAATTATGACAAATATTCGAGATATGACTGCAAATAGTATAAACTTTATCTTCCAGAAATGACCTAGATACATTATTTTATTTATCTGATAGGCAGCTATCTTACACGTATCATAAATTCTTTCCATTAATTTGGCCAAACCTGAATAACATAGAAATAATATTAAAATTAATAGCAATTAATAATATTCCAACTTACCTTGTATTCTCACCAGAATAAAATGCAGCATATTCTTTGTCGGTAAATATGTATCTTTTTCATATTTTGCAGGAATTAATTCTACTACATTATATAAATATGAAGTTAAATTTGTGTTAAAATAGATATTTAGAGCGTGTTTTACTTTCTCCAATGACTTAAAATACTTCCAAGTTCGTAACTTTGTCTTCAGCCTATAAATAATTCTGGATAGAACAGCGGCCTCACGTATGATTATGCCTTGGTCTTTAAAATGATTAATTCCGTGTTCAAGAGCATTTCGCAGCTTTATTAAATCTAGAAGTAGGATTTATAAATACTACAAACGTATAAATGATATACGCAGTAAAATTAAAGAAATGATGGTAAGTATATAACATATTTATATTTATGACTTACCAATGTTATTTTCGATTACTTTATAAGAATTTGTTGGCGGTGGTGATAATTGTTTTGTATTCCATAAATCCATAGTTTGATTTGTTCTCTAGTTTGATATAAATATTTGTTAAATCCCAAATCAAAAATGATGAAAATGATATTGATCTGTGATATTGATAGGTTAAATGAGGAGGTTACTTTCTATATTTCCTCCTCTATTTTAATTAATTTGAAGGCCTAAGCTACTAGGACTATCCAGCCTGTTAATAGGGTACCAGCCTCGGTTGTAGTAAGGTTATAGTGCGCGTTCAGGGAAGACTAGTTAATTATTTTATGGGGAAGACCGCCGGTGAACGACCGCTGAGAATTTTGCTCAGCGACTGACCGTTGTTATGTTTTGGTTTTGGTCTTAAGCTACACGCACACTGGTGCGATCACGGTCGCGATCACGATCACGATCACGATCAGGGCAGCGATAAAGTGTTTTTACACTTAAATCCCTGATCGTGATCGTGATCGCGGCCGTGATCGCGCCAGTGTGCGCAGTGGCGGATACAGAGGGGGGGCCCATGGGGCCCGGGCCACCCCTAAAACCTGTAAATTTGGTTAAATATTAGGCTTTTGGGTTAAAGATGGCGCCCTAAAAGGCATATTTTGCATTATTTTTTATTTGGGCCCCCCCTAAAATAAATTTCTGTATCCGCCCCTGAGTGTGCGTACAGCTTTACTCAGCCACTCAGCCCGCAGCCGCTCACCATCCCTGAACGCGCTCATAGGGTATCCCACGCAGGGTTCGGAAGTAGTTAATTAAGACGTAATTTACCTGATTAACTACGTGTAGTTTTTCTTCAAAAACTCCGTCTTTTCCCGTTCATTAACTACATGAAAACTACGTTAATAAACTATGTATTGATATTATGAATAATTTTCCTTTGTATGAAGTGTAATAGAGATAATATGATGTAAATATTATATTTAAAGCCATATTTCTTCTGTTTTCTTAAATACATTATGTGTTTTTAAAGCTTCAACTTATTATAATCTCTCCTCAAACCTTTGATATTTGAAAGTTATATAGGTTACATAAACTACATTAAGCACATGTAATATAGTTTATGTAATTTTTAAAAGTAACATGTAGTTTTCCGAACCCTGATCCCACGACGCCCACGACCAGGGTTCGGAAAACTACGTGTTACTTTTAAAAACTACATAAACTACTTTACATGTAGTTAATGTAGTTTATGTAGAGGGTGTAGTTTATGTAACCTATGTATGTAACTTTCAAATATCAAAGGTTTGAGATGAAGTTATAATAAGTTGAAGCTTTAAAAACACATAATGTATTTAAGAAAACAGAAGAAATATGGCTTTAAATATAACATTTACATCATATTATTTCTATTATACCTCATACAAATGAAAATTATTCATAATATCAATACATAGTTTATTAACGTAGTTTTCATGTAGTTAATAAACGGGAAAAGACGTAGTTTTTGAAGAAAAACTACACGTAGTTAATCAGGTAAATTACGTCTTAATTAACTACTTCCGAACCCTGCCCACGACTAATCTTTCACCTTATCTCTGGCTGAGGTCGGATTAGACCTAGACATTATAAAAAGAAGATGCTTTAGAAATTAACCTCAGTTAAAAACTCAGTCACACGAATATTTTGGGCAATGATAAAGCTGATCAATTAGCAAATATTGGAAAGACAAATGGTCGAGATGCTGAGATTAAATGTTGGTTTACTGATTTTATTCCAATTCTTAAGGAAAAGTTTTGGTCGTTATGGAAAGGCAGATGGAAGGAGATTTCTTGTACAAAAGGGAAAAATTATGCAGAAATTGTTACTTTTCCCTACAAAAGCATATGGTTTAGATCATGTAAAGATTTTCCCAGGAAAAGATTGACAACCTTCTTCAGATTAAGAAGCGGACATTGTCTAATTCCGTCCCATTTACATCGTATAGGTGTAAATGCAGATTCCTATGTGAGTGTGGAGAAATTGGAACGTTAAACCACATCTTTTTTTGAATGCAATAAATTTCCCGCTTTAGTAGATAAACTATATAAATCACTTATTGGCTTTTACAAAACATCCCCTCATAATTTTACCTCCGCTTTGCATGCTCATCCAATTGTAGTTAATATTATAGGCGAATTCTTAGATAGTTGTGGAATTAATCTTTGACATTTTAAATGAAATTGTTATTAAATTTGTTTATTTTGCAGGATCTTCCTTTGCCAACATTTTCTTCAACTCAACAGTCGGGGTATGGGATTTCCCAGGCTCGCTTTATAGCGATCCTCGTCTGTGTGTCATCATCTATATAAACGCTCAACCGTAGGTAGTTAATTCTACCATCCGGCCGGATAGCCCTGGCAGCTGTGGCCATTAAACTAATATACTACTATTAACCTCTTCCTCAATTCTTAAGGAAAAGTTTTGGTCGTTATGGAAAGGCAGATGGAAGGAGATTTCTTGTACAAAAGGGAAAAATTATGCAGAAATTGTTACTTTTCCCTACAAAAGCATATGGTTTAGATCATGTAAAGATTTTCCCAGGAAAAGATTGACAACCTTCTTCAGATTAAGAAGCGGACATTGTCTAATTCCGTCCCATTTACATCGTATAGGTGTAAATGCAGATTCCTTATGTGAGTGTGGAGAAATTGGAACGTTAAACCACATCTTTTTTGAATGCAATAAATTTCCCGCTTTAGTAGATAAACTATATAAATCACTTATTGGCTTTTTACAAAACATCCCCTCATAATTTTACCTCCGCTTTGCATGCTCATCCAATTGTAGTTAATATTATAGGCGAATTCTTAGATAGTTGTGGAATTAATCTTTGACATTTTAAATGAAATTGTTATTAAATTTGTTTATTTTGCAGGATCTTCCTTTGCCAACATTTTCTTCAACTCAACAGTCGGGGTATGGGATTTCCCAGGCTCGCTTTATAGCGATCCTCGTCTGTGTGTCATCATCTATATAAACGCTCAACCGTAGGTAGTTAATTCTACCATCCGGCCGGATAGCCCTGGCAGCTGTGGCCATTAAACTAATATACTACTTTAACCTCTTCCTCTTAGCGAGCTATTTTAGAAACATCAAAACATTAAAGTCTGTGCTTGAGTCTGTGATTAAAGTTTTCAGAAGTTTTTAAAGAAGTATTAAAATTAGTGGATGTTGGGTATATCTTTCCATTTTAATTGTGCATAACATGCCACTCCTAATAACTCGGAGTATTTTTCATAAATTCAAGGTTACTCCATCTGTTTCAAAGGTACACTAATTATTGCATAATCAAATGAAGTATTTTGTCCAAATAAGGCCACACCATATATATATCACTTTTAGTTATCCAATAAATTACTATGTAGTGGACCGCCTGAAGCGATTTTAATAGAAAAGTCCTTTGAAGGACCAATTATTGTTTTAAGAGAAGAGGACAATGTTGATATAATTGGTCCTCCTGATTCACTATCTAATTTAAGACCTATTATACGTAAAAGTCTTAGGAATGAAACAGTACTACAACGGCACTTTAGAGAAACAGCTAATGCAATACAAATATGGAATCAAGAGTTTTGGGCTAACCATAACACTAATTTTCTAAAGGTAAAAAAGTAAAATTGTATAGACCAAGCTAAATGATCTGAACAATATATAGTTTTACTATTATTAAACTACCTGTCTAAATAAACATCTATTGTTTTATATAGCTATATGTCTAATAATCACCCTTTTTTTAGGAAAAAGCAGCATTTGTAAAAAAACACAGATCAGACAAGAATCATCAATTAAATGCTGATGAAATGAGTGAATTTTATAAAGAATTTTTAGATAAGAATTGGGAGAGACACGTAAAATATAATTTTGAATGGTATAGTAAAAATTTCACTCTTTTATATTTAGCCCTGAAAGTTAGTATAGAACAACTAAAATTGAAAATGTTATGGTGAAACTAAGTGAATTCTTCTTTGTGTAGTATTTTGTACTTAATTTGTTCCTATTTCATATTACCATTTTCAAGAAACTAATTTATTGTATATATTTACTTTAGTTAAGAAATATATTTTATTTATTAAAAAGATACTGTTTCATTTTTTTTGACATTTGACATTTTAATAATTATCTCATAGGATTATCATCTAGTAGTACAGTGTCAAAATTTCCTTAGCAGCATCTTTTGTTCAATTTCCTAAACAAAGTAAAATTAAAAGATATTCAGATAAAAATGGCTGGCGAAAATAGAAATTTTTGTGTAAAATGCGATGAGACATTAAGCGAAGATACTAGCAAGAAAACTCTTAAATGCAATGCAGATTCGTGCAACAAGGGTATACATTATACATGCAGCTCGTATAATACACACGAACTACAATTTTTGGAGAGCAACAAAGATAATGTTAAATGGTTTTGTGATGGCTGCAAGAACAGCTGCACAGTAAGGAAAATGTTTCCGTTTAGATAATAAATTTGTTTTGTTAGTTTACTAGACTCATTCATTAAATAATATAAAATTTTAGAAAGTAACTCCATAAAGGTCCAGCCTCTGGTTCTATGTTAATCCCGCTATAATGATAAAAAAATGACCAACAATTTTAAAAATACTTTAGATGCTGAAGAATCTGAAGACAGCAGTTTCCTGATGGTAGCGGTGTTGTTAATTTATTACCTATTATTATTATAACAGTTTTTATTTGGTTTTATTAAAAAATGTTAGATATCTGCTTTATTTTAATTAAAAAAATTCATAAAAAACATGACTGTCAGCTTTCCATATTAGAAAGTGAGTGTGTACCATAGACACAGACCATAGATAAAAGAAAATAATCTTCTATTAAGATAGATATGAAACTTAATAGTAAAATTTTGGGTCAAAGCGCCCCTCCGTGTTCTTAGTAGAGACTACGTTTAGCCCAGCGCCTTCGCCTTTTCTGCTGCAAATATTTTTTATGTTTATATTTGATTTCAAAGGATTTAGTTTTAAAGTTACACTGATATATTAGTATATCAGAGTAGCTTTAATAAAACATAAGAATATATATACTTTACAGTTTATTAAATATAATTTTTGACTACAAGGTAGAAAGTAAATCACAATATTTGATAAAACTTATAAGTATACCATTTTTACAGTTAATAAATAATAAAACTATTTCTGACTATGATATTTAAAATTTAGATAGATAGAATATTAAAAAACATACCGGTATTTGCAGACGCAGGCCCAAATTCAATAAAAACCAAAATTTTTCCTGCGAAAATCGGGCTTTTTTCGGAAAAAAGGTATTTTTTGATTTATCAACAATCATTGTCAAGTTGACAATATACAGGGTGTTTTTTAATTAGTCTAAAAGATTGTGGTGTGGTTCCTCATGTGTTCTTAAAACAATTTTTATATAACCATTAGGTCTAAAGTACTTCCTTTCTGATCTACAGGGTGTTAAAAATTAAAAAAAAATCGATATTTTGCTTAACATAAATGGTACACTACTGGTTTTTTAAATAAAATATATGTTTTTCTTGACTGGCCATCCTTTTTCAACAAAATTGATCTTTTGAGTTTTTCTTGTTCATAAAACGGTTGCCGAGAAAAAAATAAATATACTTATTAAGAGCCCGCCTTAAGCCGTTTTCTAACGATTTTTTATTTTTTAGATTAATTAGGAAACACCCTGTATATGCATATCACAGGCAACCAAATAAACTAGTAACCTCTAAAAATTATTTTTCCTACCTCTAGCGCCATACCGTGTTTTTAGTGAGTACTAAATTATTTTATCAAAATTTCACCATATAAGTTTCCAGGCAATGGTGTGTACACTTTTAATATAATAAATCTTCTACAGGATGGCTCAAAAAAGTATGAGTGGATTGGGATGATTTTTTAAATGGAACACCCTGTATATTATTCCTTTGTTAGATGGAGAAAAATATTTGAAAATTTTTAAGGGTTTAGCAAATATTCGCGTTTTTATTATGTATGGCTCTTTCAACGATAAATACAAGACTGATATTGACACAAAAGATACACAGATATACAGTAATGTATATCTGCATACAAGTAATGTATATACAAGATACACAGTAATGTACTATTATAGGCTTGGTGCATTTCAGTTGATTTCAACAAATTCCGACCGTAGCGCTTCAATGGAAAGAAATCAGAAATTATCACTGTTTCACGCTGCCGCACACTGGCACTGGGACAGAATTGGCAATTTATATACTATAAGTATAAAAGCGTAATCTTCCTAATTCAGATGAAATTAATGTATTATAGGCTATATACCTCTGAATATTATACAGGGTGTTTCAAAAAACATGTGCCATCTCTCGTAGGGAGATTCCTCATGTAAAAATAAGATTTATTTCTTATACCAACATAGGCCCGATTCTGCTTTTTTTCGTTAGCTACAGGATGTTAAAGTCTTAATATTTCTTCGATTTATTATGATTTTCTACTAAGTACTTTTAGCGTTTCGAATGAAATTTTGAGGGTAAAAGTTACTAATAAATGCGATATATTTTAAGGCTAAAAAAGTGTCGACATACCTATTCACCAGGGACATGCAAATGGGTTATCACTGGAATATTTTTCTCAAAAAATAAGCATGTACGCCACTGACTTTTTCTTCTCTTGTTAAGGAAATTATGTAAGCAGTTTAATACCGATTTAAAATTGTCTCTGTTGATATTTTGTCGATTTCGACCTCCTTGGTGAAATAAACGCAATTTTATTAATTTGCCTTGATCCTAAGTAGTCTAGTAGCAAACCTTTAAAATTTTTTAATATCATTAACTTGCGAAACTTTGAAAGAAGTACCCATTAATTCTTCATTAAAAAATATGAAAAAAGTTCCTATAAACATGGGTATGGAAATGCATGGTTTTAGAGTTACAGGATGTTAAAACTTTTTAAAATTAGGTTTTTTGTAATTATCTTAAATACCATTATTTTTTATTTGAAATTGCTGTTAGGTTGGACTAATAGTAATAATATTTAATAATAAATTAGGTAAAATACATAATTTATTAATTTGATTTTTATTTTAATTTTATTAATTGTGATTAATAAAATTGCGTTTATCTCATCAAGGAGGCCAAATTCGTCAAAATATCAAGAGATATCTTTTAATTGGCATTAAACGGCCTACACAATTTTTATATCAAAAGAAAAAAAGTCAGTGGCGCGCATTTTTTTTTTTGAAAAATATTCCATTGATAATCTATATGCACGTCCCTGATGAATTTATCGACACATTTTTAGGGTTAAAATATGTAACACTTATAGTAACTTTTACCCTCAAAATTTCATTTGAATCACAAAATACTTGGAAGAAAATTATAATAAATCTTTAACATCCTGTAGCTACAAAGCAAAGCAGAATTGGACCTTTGTTTGATATGAAATATAAATCTTATTTTTACGTGGAACACCCTGTATATTAATATAGGCGCACGAGCGATGGCACATGTTTTTTGAAACACACTGTATAATAATATAGGCGCTGAATCGACAGTGATGGTTGCTAAGAAAGAGTTTTTGTTTTTGTGTATCAACTAAAATTGTTTCGATTTTATTGTTCCGGCCTATCAATTTACTCCTATTTTATATTTGATTTTCCAATAATAAGTTTATATTTATTTTAATAGCGACATTATTGTTCGTTCTCGTCGGTAAGTAAATTAATATTTCTAGGTTTTTGATCTACAGGGTGGTCCGAACTGTATTCCGGAAACTTCGGCAGCATATTCTGCAGATAAAAATAAGTAAAAATGTTCGTATAGATGTATGTCCGAAAATGCTTAGTTTCGGAGATACAGGGTGTAGAAGTTTCATTTTTATTTCGATTTTTTCCAAATAATTTCTCATCCCTTGACAGGGTTTGAACGTTAAAAGTGGCAATATGCAGTTTTCGTCTATTAAGGTAGCCTGGTCCACTCCGGGGATTCTTAGCACCCTCTGCTCTTTTCCTTACTCGGCCGCTACCATAGTCGAGGGAGTTTGCCGAGCTGCCGGAGACTGAGGGCCGTATCTTGGAAGACGTTTCCATAGTTAAGGTGGAATTGGCTATACTCTACCACGCTAGCCCTGCGGGTTGGTAGAGGGTAGGAGGATAGGGTAGGATAATTGGTTGGAATAGGGTAGGATAAAGGGTTTGGGACATGATTCCCCCTAAAGTAAAGGAAGTAGAGGAAATCAAAGAGCCTCAAATAGAGCCTCAATTATGGCCCACTTAAATTCCGGTTTATCAGTGCCGTTCTAATTTTATTTAAAAAATGTAAAACTATGATGTAGGGTAGACGTGGGGTAGACCCAATATTTTTTTTTATTTTACGTTGTGAATAAATGTTGGTTGTTATTAAAATTGTTATAAAAATATAAAATTTAAATAAAAATAGATAAGTTATAATAATTATTTATAACCATAAACATCCGATACGCTACTGAAGCAGGTAAGTCAAATTGACGTATCTAAATTCTTTGACATCTAAACTTTGGCAAGTAGTAAATAAAAGCAAAAATGCAAGAAAAAATATATAATTAGTTAATTTAAGTGAATTTCATAAATAATCGGTTTACTACACGTATGTATATTATATAGTCACTTACTACCGACAAGTTGTTCCATTATTTCACTCGATTTTTGCTATTAATTTAAGTTCTGCCACAATTTCCATCTAGATTTACTACCTTTATATAACTATCAGTAGTAAAATAAATAATAAATAACATAAAATAAGCTCCGTAAAGACCGACAAATCCACAAAATTTCAAATCAAATTCAAATGTGTCAAATGAATCGTCAAACAGAACTGTCAAGGATCCCCACCCTAGAGTGCTTTTTCCGCCCACCATGCATGAATACATGGATAGCATCGTGCTTCTTCCTTAGTCTTCTTATTCAAAGGTAAAAATGGCTACGAGTAATGGTTTTCGAGCTATTTGGAATCGAAATTATCAATACCTGTCATCACTGACATAAATTAAACATGTTGACTAAATAGTAACTAGACTGAGATCATAAATTTGAAATGTTTTTGTACCAAAAGTTCAACAAAAACTGTTTTATCATCATTTTTTTATGCCGCCCCACCCCCTGATTTTAACATATATTAATTTTTCCTCCATTCAAACAATTTAATATTATAACGAAAAATTTTGCCCGTTCTTGCCCCATTGTAAATTATTTAAAGTTTAATGAACCATAAATAGTCGAAAATTTGATCATAAATTATCGCTCGAATTATGGCTAAATTTATTCTCGCTAAGTTTTCTTCCGTAAGTATTGACATTTATCTGCTATTTTATTCTGGAAATTTCGTATAAAAATAGAAAATGGAAGTAATACCATAGTACGTAATAAAGTATTGTAAAAAGTATATTACGCGCGAATAGAAATTTGCACACAAGGCGTGTGATGATGGGTGTAGTATTCGATAAGCGCATTACGATATTTCTGCAACAAGATTTACTTAGGTACTAAACTTTACCTACGACCACAAATACTCCAATAACATTTTCGTTTTTAAAGTTTTTTGAATGTTTGGTATAGAGAGGGTGGCGCCTCTCATACTACTCATACTACACCGAAGCTCCATTAGCGTAACTAGCAATTCATCCTGGGGGGAGCGCAGGGGGGGCCTAGGGCTTTTGTTTTTTAAAAAATGAAGAAAAATTAAACAAACACATTTTTTGAATTAAACGTTTACATAAATTATTTCTGTATCAATAAATTTCATAGACTTGGTTATCAAACCGCGTTCCCGTAGATTACTTAAATACCTACCCACAAATTTTCTAAAATGTAAAAATTAACACATTTTTTGAACACAGCAAAATAATATTAACTAAACAAAACTAGAAAACGTCATTTTTACTACATCACAAGAAAATAAAAATTAATACGTAGCCAAGAATCATAATTCAAGATTTCTCTGGGGGGTGCCCATCAGCTGTACCTACCTCTAGTTACGCCAATGCGTAAACAACTTGGATGAATCATCCAAAATGATAAGTATAAATTGCCTTTCATCACTGTTTCATCCAAAGTGTACACTAAAATTGAACGATGAAACAAGTTGACGGTCTTCTTACTTTTGTTGAAAGAAAGCGTTCAACGAACCGTTAATTCATCTAGATTCAACGGCAAGTGAAAAGTGTAAACAGCCGACGCGACGCCGCGCCGACCTGTGCAGCCAACCTCGATATAGACAACAAAAGGAGAGGTGGCAGCCTGCGGATGATCAGGAAGATGCGGAAGATGAAACAGTGAACTGCTGCGAACTGGATGAAAATATATGTAAACAAGGATGTTGAATTTGGATGAATTCAATCTGAGTGATTCATTTTGGTTGTACATCTAAAGTGACACAGTGTAAACTCTGCTTAACGATTTGATATTGAAGAAAAATGTGGATCAATTTCTGCATAATTGGGGACAGGCTACAGGATGGTGCCCTAGACGTTTCAAACCGATGCACAGTGCTTCGAACATATGGCTTTAGAGGACAAAAATGCAAAACTTCTCTTTTATTGTAGGCAATTTATTCAAACTAGGTTTATTTGACACAAATGATGAGTACTCTCATTGTACTAAATGATGATGTTCTTAGTCCCACGTTTATGAAAAAAATCTTATAAATAATAAAAATGTTGGAGTTGTGTTCCATCTAAGGAAATAATAATTTATAGTATGAAAACGGTATTACTTATACCGTTTTCATAAATAAATCCCTGTGATAAAAAAGAACTGAAATAACATTAGAACAGGATTCCTACAATATAAGCCTAATATAAGATAAAAATGTTTTTCTTTAATGAAAAAGAAAAATTAATGTTATATTTAATTGAAAAAAAAACTTAAGATACTATAAATTTACATTAGGACAACAAAATGCATAGATCGCAACTATTCTGATTCAGAAGAATCACTGCTGACATAATCTTCCAAATTTATAGTATCCAAATCACAGGCAGATGAAGTATCCTCACATATAAGATATTTCTGTACATCATTTTCTAATATGTTACTTTTTCGCGTTGTTACTGTTCTTTTTGTTGGTACGAGGGGTTGGGATGTTAATAGTTACCTCTTTAATAGACCACATCCATATATTATTTGTTCCTTTTCTTGGGTATGAGGTTTTATAATAAATTGAAAGATGGAAACTTTTTTTATGTGACGTTTCGCTCCAACATAGTGGGCTTTTTCAGGCACAAGTGGTGTCTCATTTGACTGGAAGGTTCATCAATATCTAATAAAGAACGCATTTTTTGAAATATAAATAATTTTGAGTTCTTATCCTTATGATCAAGCCAAGTATTAACCAGATCGGCGTTGCTTATCAAATTTACTCCATCTGAAAAGTATCATAAAATAAAGTTCGTCGCAAGCAGACGCAGGTGAACTATCCAAAAATTAAAAGTGTATGAATATGACAACAAAAATATTCAATAAATACGATATGTTTTGATATGTTTTTTTTAAATCCCTTTTTGAAGTTTGAAAACGTAAAATTTTTATACCCATTTAAGAATCATCTTAAAAAATAAATAAAAACTAAACAATCACGAACTTGTTTAGAAATAAATTTAAAGTACATACCTTGTTTAACAATATCCATAGTGGCTTTCAATTAAGTACGTACCGTTTAACTCCATAATATACAGAACTACTATGAATGTTATTCTTTTCACTGATAAGACAATGACCGTAAAATTTATTTTTAGTGAAAATATTTGGTAACAAAAAACGCTGTTTATGAAAAATAATATACAGGATGGTTGAACATTGCTATAAGTATAAAATTACATATTCAGGTATTAGTAAATTTTAACTTTTTTTTCGATTTTTGTCCATGGGACGAAGCACTGTGCGATGCCTCTAAATGAACGAAATCGTCAGGATCTTTTTTAATTATGGGTCGATTGGAACCAAACTCGGCACATGAATAGAGGTAGGTACCCGAATGGAGTCCTCAGACGGAAGGACAGACAGATCGAAGAAAAAGTAAGAAGAAGTTTTACTTTAAATAATTGTTTTATCACTTAATATGGTTCTTTTGAAATAATTTACATACAGACTAAATAAATATGACTTACTTTTTTAATATATAGAAATTTATTCAAAATAAGAATACTATTACGTCCTTATTACAATAAAACTATGAAACACACTTTTTTAAACAAATATAACTCTCATAAGCATTTTAATAATAGTCAATTTAATTCAGGAAACGTTAAATGACACACTACAAATAAATTTGAAACTGTTATTTACTGACGGATTATTTGATTTCATGTGGAGCTCTTCTGCTTAAATCATTTAAAATTCGATTCATTTCGTCGCAGGTCTCTAAACAAATTTTGTCCTCCATATCGAACTTTGTCTTTTCGTATTTGTTTGATGAACTTTCCGATCTTTTGCAACAGCTGGAACAAGACGAATAAACGGAGGCGTTGGTGTTCAAATTCGAAGGCACATCTCTAGTCAGCTTGCGAAAAAATAATTGCTTCATAGGATATTCTGTTTTTGAAACATCTTTAGTAATATCGTTTATATTCGATATCTAGAAAATTGTGATGATTTTGAGGATCTTCGATAAAAACATATCGTGGTTACAGGAAATAAGTTATATTAAGTTAAATATTCTGACTTTTTAGAGCAGTGTTTTCCAAACTTTTATATAAAGCGTTAACCCTTTTTGTTATTTTTTTTTCATGGCCCCCTATTTCAGTAGTTTATAAGGTCGCAACATTAATATGAATACAGCCACAGGTAAAATTAAGTTTATAGGCTTGGTGCATTTCAGTTGATTTCAACAAATTCCGACCGCAGAGCAGTCTACGGCAGAAATCAGAAATTATCAATAAATAGTTTACGCCGTATACGCCAGTATAGCGAAAACTAAAATAGTGGGACATTGGCATTTTTCTTCAGTTATTACTATTCTTGCTGACATTTTTTGACAGAAATTAAATAATACGACTAGGATTTTTTGCTACAGGGCGAAAAGAGTAAAAAAAGGCGTAATGGAAGGTCAAAAAAAATACGAAGTTTTATAAAAGGACTTTACAGGTATATTTTTTTATTTACGAAGAGTTTTAGCTCTTATGGACCAAAAACGTTATCAAATTACTGTCGAACAATCATTTATCTCCCGCTAATACAAGGGTGGTCTGAAAAGTTTCCGACCTAACAAAGATACAAGACATTTTTTCTGAATATTTTTTTTTATTTTTCAACATAGTCCCCTTGTAACTCTACACACTTTTCCCAGCGATGCTCCCATCACTGTAACCCGTCCAAAGAGTACTCGGCGTTTTTCTCTGCAAAATAGTGGTTCACGAAGGTGCCTCTTCATTTGACGAAAATCTCTGTCCTCCGAGCGCAATTTTTAAATGAGGGAACAAAAAGAAATCGCTAGGGGCTAGATCTGGTGAGTAAGGCGGATGGTCAAGCAGTTCAAACCGTAATTCGTGGATTTTCGCCATGGCAACCGCTGAGGTGTGAGACGGTGCGTTATCTTGGTGAAACAGGATTTTCTTTTTCTGTAAATGTGGCCGTTTTCCGTAAGTTCTGTTTTTCTTTTTGAAGATAATCAATTAAAATAACTCCATGACTATCCCAAAAAACAGTCGCCATCACTTTCCCAGCCGAAATAACAGTTTTTGCTTTTTTTGGGGCTGGTTCTCCCTTTGCCGTCCACTGTTTGGACTGTATTTTTGTTTCTGGTGTATAGTGGTGTATCCAAGTTTCATCTACAGTAATTAATCGACGCAAAAACTCGGATTTGTTGCGCGTAAACTGCGCCAACATAGCGTTGGAAATGTTCATACGAACACGCTTTTGGTCTAAGGGTACGAACATAGTGGAGGCAGGTTTCTGCTTTCCGGCAACCAGCGCCGTCTCTGGGGACCTATTCTTGACCACATATCGCTCACATCTCGCATCTCCGAAAAAGCCATATAACAATACACGTGATGCGTAATTTTGCGTATATGCCGTGTATTGTTATATGGCTTTTTCAGAGATGCGAGCAGGGTTCGGAAGTAGTTAATAAATTTACCTGATTAACTCACCTAACCTAACTATACTCAAACGCCGCTCCCGCCGCGCCAGCTCGCACATAGGGAATTTGGTCTATAAACCTGGCCAAAAGTGAAATATTTTTATTTTCATTTTTTATCTTAACTGAATACAAATCTATAAATACTAAATGTAAGCGCGTTTATTAGCTTTTTTTAAGTCGTAAGTTGACTATCAAATAACGTTTTCTTCTATTCTATTTCTTTATAATGTTTTATATTTAAAAAATCAGAGGCATTTTTATAAGGTGTAAGACTATTCGGCAATATTCCGCATGGAAATTAGTATCCGTTCAATGCTTAAAGTCTCCAGCTTTGGAATATGTACAAAAATCTTGCCAATATTTGCCACTGCCAAAAAAACATTGATTTAAATAGATTCTTAAAGGAAATAGTCTTTACCCTATAACACCCATCCTCGCTCAAATATCGTCTATAATATACAAATTACTTTCTTGTTCTAGCATCCTCATCCAATTGCTTGATTTTGCACAGAATGGCCCTATTTGATCGGTGGAAAGGGTTTCAGAGTAGAGGAAAAAATATTGTGTAGGAAAAACAAAATGGGGTTCCATATTAGCAACCTCTCCTCTAATTAATAATTAATATTACAAGCAAAAAAGCAAAAAAATCATAAAACATAATTTTGGCCAACTTTTAGTTCTTAATACCCTCTGTGTGCCGTCGGCGCGTGCAAAAGCAGAAATAAATAAATTTTCGTTCCGGTAAAAGCGAGAACGCCGATGAACGCTGGTTGACGGTGCCTGCCTGCCATCTGCCTGCTTTCACTGTGAACTAGCCGATTTGATAACACGCTTTAATTTTTCAAGGTTATAACCTCGAGGCGGCGCGGCGCGGCGCTACGATGTACCCATATACAGGGTGTCCCAGAAATAAGTGCAAGTATTTTATACTTAACTGGTAGTATAGTTCAACCCCAGAAACACGCCAATGAGGTTTTTTTCTAAATATTTTTTTTTGAAAATTCGGAATTTTTTGAAAATTTTTTTGGAATTTTTTGAAAATTTTTTTGGAATTTTTTTTAGTTTTTATTTAAAGAAAATAATTTCTTGATAATATGCCAACATAGGTAGTAGATTAAAGTTACAAGAAAGAAAATCCAGAAAAGATCCAGTGGTTCTCAAAATTTTAGCAAAAAATAATTTTTTTTGGAAATTTTCAAAGTAAAATAACTGTGTTATTTTGGACTTATTTGAAAAACGATAAAGAGAAAATATGTTTCTTTTATCGATATCTACCAGCCTTTAAAATACTTGCACTTATTTCTGGGATACCCTGTTTATAACAATACACGTGATGCGTATACGCAAAATTGCGAACGATGTCAAGAATAGGTACCCAGATTGACGCCGACTACCGGTAAGCGGCAAACCTGCTTGCACTGTGTTCGCACACTAACGTGAGCAAACGAGGCACCCAACGCGTGGACAGCTTTCTCATGCCTAAATCTTCATTTAATATGTGACAAACACGTTCTTTTGATATGTTCATAACCTCTGCTATCTCTCTCACTTTAATTCGGCGGTCGTCTAGCACCATTTGGTGACCTTTGGCGATGTTATCGTCGGTAGTTGCAGTTTTTGGACGTCCCGAACGTTTATCGTCTCCCAAGCTCTTAGCGCCACGTTTAAATTCAGCTGCCCAAAATTTTACTGTGGTAAATGATGGTGCAGAGTCCCCATACACAGAATCCAACTCATGTTTAATTTGTGTAGGCGTATTGCCTTTCAAAACCAGATATTTAATGACAGCTCGATACTCGATTTTGTCCATTTTCACAAAAACACTGACATCAATTCACTCAAACGACTGTTACATAACAACTGCGCATCCAAAATGGCTGAAACTTTGGTGAATAACTGTCAACAGATGAACAATGAACAATTTTAACAGTATTAAATAATATGATAATATGCGAAAAAAACGTATTCAACTTCAGCAAAGGAAACCATAATACACACCTCACAAAAATTTTCGCAACACATATTTTTCTTAGTATATATTCTTGAAACGCTTCAAACATTTTTATGTGAAAAACTTAAATCTAAGGTCTGCCTGAGTTATCATATACTTTCCATTCCTTAACAAGTTGCTATTAATGCAAATAACTTTTGAGATTATTGTTAACCAAGAGAATTTAAGAATACTTTGCAGTTTTCCAAATTAATAAGTGATGCGATAATTTATGTGGGGTGTATATTATTCCAAAATAACATAATATGTAAGGCACTTACATAAAACATGCTTAAAAATAATTCTCAATTTCTTCTCCAGCCATATACAAGAGCTCTTTCGCTTCCGGAAACAAGTCTACTTTTTTATTTTTAGAGTGCTTTGGTCGCAGATGTGAAAGTAGAGGATCTGAATATAACAATAAGTTATCCAATATATCTTCAATAGTTTCCTTACGACCACTCTTCCTGGAAAAATTTTGGCGGAACGATCGAAATTCTTTGTTTCTTGATTCAGATGCTTCTTCGGACATTTTGCCGATGGGTATACGTCGTAAAATCACGCAAAATTAGGGCAAAAATGTGGAATGCTCTGAAAGGGAGATACATATCGAAGCTTTGTCGAAAAATTTGAGGCCTGCCTGTATTTGCATTAATATTATACTGAATTCTAAGGAGCTTAACTTTTGTCAGTGGCTAGAACTGTTTATTATGCACTTACTGTTTATTGTATGCCCTTCCATTCTGTTTTCTACGTGTTGTGCGGCTAAATATTTGACCGCATTTTCAAGCTCCAGTTTTGAGCTGTTCGATATTAACTGGTTCTAAACAGCAGAACTCATTGACGGGGCTTTGCGCCGCTCTCCCTACCAGTGCAGGTTGAGTGGAGGGGGAGCGTAGTCGAGTACCTCGGCCGCACCAGCACTACAGAAGTAGTTAGTGGTCGCACATGAACCAGTGAGGTTCGAGTCCGGAGTGCCCTGCCAAGTGTCCTGCTGCCAGCCGCCTGCCGCCGTACTGTGCTAGGTAAGCATCAGCCGCCGAAGTGTTCGAAGGTAGGTCGTATCCTTGTTATAATTCTTAAGCGGTTACTGTACCACCTAGGCGCGTTTTAGGGATAAGGGAGAGCGTAGGTTGCCGACCAGGCGAAAGGGAGAACACGGTTTACTATAGTAGTTGTCAGGAATGACGTCCCGGAAACTAGACAACATAAGGGGTGGCCTGACATCTACTCTGGTTTAACGTGTCTTTGCGGGATAATAATTAAAGGGGTTTTAAGCTTTGTATAAATAGAGGTTGCCGACCAGGCAAAGCATTGAACTCTTATTTACTAGACAAGGCTTTCTACGCCGTAAATGACGTATATTTGAATTGACAAAATCGAATTTGATCTGACAAAACACTGGTCTAATGTTTGCTATTGCTATATTTACTAATTACTGAAATTAATTTATTTAAAGGTCATTGATATTTCGCTATAAATAGAAGTTGCCGACCAGGCGAAAGAG